TGAGGTAAGCAGGAATGTAGTTTACGTAATGCATCCACATTCGTATCGTATACTATACAGGATAATGCTATAGCATAGTTTAGACTCTTGTACAAACAGGACTTCTTCATCGCACATATCTGCTCTCGAAGAGGGTGTGCACGAAGCTGATCGGATAAGAGTTCAGTTTTCGAAAGAAAATGGAAATGATGACGATCCACACCACATAACCGCTCATGTGCAGCGTAAGTATCAAAATCAGAATCCATCTTCACCCCATATCATCGTCATCTTCATCATGAAACATTATCCAACAATGTACCTACTTTATAAACCCACTCCCATCCGGGGCAATTAGCAGATACAACCATTGGGGTACAATCATGATGTCATGCCCCTCAACCGCCTACAACACCCGAAAAATGATTTTTTTTAACGTAAAAATAGGACGACCGGTTTTTACCCCAAAAATGGGGCCGTCAGCTCCCTTTGATATGGTGATAGCATGTCCCGGCTGACTGTGAAGCGATCCGGAGCCAATGGATAGTCATTGAAAATAGTCGTGTAACATCTCTGGAATCCTGAGGTCACACTCAACCATTATAGCCTCTCGGTGCATCTGCTGGATGTTGTAGTATGTCGTCAATCAACTGGTGTCTGTAGGGGGCTAGGAAGTTGAATCCCCTCATCCAGCGAGACCTTGGTGAGCTTCAGGAGTGCGTCCCAGGCAAGTCTAAGAACTGTGTAAGGTAGACACGTTCTGACCTGTTGAGATAGAGACTGATGGTAAATTGTGTTTAGTAAAAAAAAAAAGGAGAAGATGTCCTGTCAGGTGATCATTTGCAACCTCTTTCTTTTCGAGATGGCGACCTCATCCTGCCTCTCCTCCTCCACTTCAACTTGAGATGTTCACGAAGAAGAAGGTATCTCCTGCTTCTACAACTCTGCACAAGATGGAAATCGTCAGTGATGGTGTGTCTGTCTGTCTGTCTTTCTGTCTGTCTTTCTGTCCGTTTGTCGGTCGGTCTGTTTGCCTGTCTGTGTACCAGTGTCATTATGTGTGTATGTGGTATGACTTTGGTTTCTGCAAAACAGATCATCATATTCCCAGAGCTGGATGATCTGGTGGTTCAATATGGTATATGCCTTATAAAAACTGAACTATAAACCTTCTCTATAAAGACTATCCTACCATATATTAAAATCAGCCTTATATGAACTAACCAATACTCTTCGCATGTTTTCCCCATCCAAATCGTATTTAACCCATTCACCGCTAAAGACGTCATTGAGAATGACGTTTTTAACGTAAAATACGGCGCCTGGTTTTTTTTACTGCAAAAATGGGGCCGCCAGATCCCTTTGATATGGTGACAGCATCTGTCGGCTGACTGTGAAGGGATCTGGAGCCAATGGATAGTCATTGAAAATAGTGGTGTAACATCTCTGGAATCCTGAGGTCACACACACACTCAATCATATTATAGCCTCTCGGTGCATCTGATGGATGTTGTAGTATGTCATCAATCAACTGGTGTCTGTAGGGGGGTTAGGAAGTTTAGACCACCCGTAGAGATTGTTGGCATCCAGGTACGTGATGTATGCGTGCTGGGTTGACTTGCATCATGATCCTGCACGGGTAGTGATTGTTGGCGACTGTCCATCTGTTGGATGCCATGCTGATCCCACCACCATCCCCCTTCTTTCCATCCTCGATGCCATTGTAGATGACGATAGGTCGCTGATCTCTCATCCAGCGAGACCTTGGTGAGCTTCGGTCCCAGTATATATAGTCAATTTGAGCCTTCCCTCTTATGCATAGTCGTCCTGGTGGTTTGGTACAGTTGGTGCTTTCAGTACGAGAGGTTGCGGGTACGAATCCAGCTTTGTTACATGATGCGTTTTTTCTTCTTCTTTACGGTCCGGGTATAAATAGGTGATTTGAGCCTTGGGTCTTGTGTGTAGTCGTCCTGGTCGTTTGGTACAGTTCATGCCTTCCGTACGAGAGGTTGCGGGTACGAACCCAGCTTTGTTACATGATGCTTCTTTTCTTCAAAGCCTCAGACAGAAAGGACCTCAATGATTGTTTCAACTGCATGCCTACTATGACCTGGCCAGGATACGCATGCCATATAAGGCATCTTCCACCCACTATGGAATATGCCTTATTTAAAAACTACAGCATATACACCTTCCCTATAAGGACACTTCACCCTACTATGGAATATGCCTTATAGGACATCATCCGTGTACAACTTCCCTATAAGGACACTTCACCCCTTTATGGCACATGCCTTCTATGACATCATCCGTGTACACCTTCCCTATAAGGACACTTCACCCCTTTATGGCACATGCCTTCTATGACATCATCCGTGTACAACTTCCTTATAAGGACACTTCACCCCACTATGGAAGATGCCTACTATGACCTGAACCACGTGCACCTTCCTTATAAGGACACTTCACCCCATATATAGACCAATCTCAAAGGTCAAAGGTCACACCTGAACCACGTGCACCTTCCTTATAAGGACACTTCACCCATATATAGACCAATCCCAAAGGTCAAAGGTCACATTCCTTCTATGGAACAATCATCCGTATTTGGAAAGGTCAAAGGTCATCCGTATTTGGAAAGGTCAAAGGTCAAAGGGCAAAGGTCATCTTCCATATATGGACTATTCATCCTTATATGGAAAGGTCAAAGGTCAACACCAAAGGTCAAAGGTCAGATGACATCTTCCATATATGGACTATTCTGCCTTATATGGTACCTCAAAGGTCAAATGTCAACTCAAAGGTCAAAGGTCATCTGCCATATATGGACTATTCTTCCTTATTTGGCAGCCAGGGGTCAAAGGTCACTTTTGGATCAGAACCCCTACGGCACTATACTACTTTCATTTGGGTTTTGGATTGATTATTGATTTACTTTTATTTCATTTTCATTTTCATTTAACTTGCCATATTTTGCGTGTGCATTTTTGCCTTCTTGTTCTTTTATTCCATGGCTGGTAGCCCTCATTCATAATATTGGTTGACACCATGTCATCCATGAATTGAGAATAATAATAATAAAAAGTGCTAAAATCTGTTTGCTCATGCGTGCGATTACAGTTTCCGAGTGCTCCATGTGCCTTGGCACGCCGCTTTTTTTTTGGGGGGGGGGGGGGGGAGGGGGCAACAAGTTGGTGAAGCTTGTAAAAGTGTTTTTTTGAACTTTACTCCCTGTTTTGCCTTTCGTGGACCCATAAATGGAAGAGTGCGTATTCATTTCTCAGCTTGGGTTTGTATCTGAACATGTATCATGGCTATGCTTCACTGAAAAAAGAGCACTTTTTGCCTGTTTTCACTGAAAAAAGAGTACTTTTTCAGCATAATTATTTTGAGGGACGCGAAAAGCACTAAGTGCGAATTAAAAGAGCACCTTTGGGAAAGGGCTAGCCGCAACCACTATTTCGTACTGTTGTACCAAGCGCGGGCTTGCGACTAGCTGGTTGTCAGGTTACAGTGTTGTGAATGACCTAGGGTCCTCGACGTCTGAGCGACACTGACTCACGCTGCTATCTGGCGTTCACGGCGTTTGTCGAGCTGGAAGCGGAGCGTCTCTGTAAGTTTGTATCCCTGGACCTGGTCGTGTTTGTGCCTGGAGCGCACTATATAAGTGGTGCTTTTCAGCCACAATCTTCCTCCGCCTACTCAAGCTCAACTGATGAGGGGTGAATCAGTCCCCGAAACACTGTATATTGAGCAGGGAGTGGTGCTTTCTTGCAGGTTTGCTGAGTGGACGGTTCGATGGACTTCTGGTGTGCTCTGGATGGCAGCCGTGAGTCGGTCAAGTGTCCAGTCAACAGAATAGCGAGAGCTCCAGTGTGGGGAGCAAACCCATTCCTACGGAGATAATAAACAATCTTTGGTCTTTCACTAGTTGTTGTCGTGCACAAACCTGATTTTTTCAACAGCTCCGCCTCTCCACCCTGGAGGACACGGTTAATCTCACGCTCCTCAGCTTTTTAACATGGAAAAATGTGGGCACAAGTTATACGATCCATATTTTTCCATGTTACAATTGTTTTCCTTGGCTCACCATCTGAGTTCTCCCCATCTTTGTCCGTCCTTGTTTGTTCTCCCAAGCTAGCTTCTTCCTTCGGGGTTACTGGTAACCGCAGGCCGGGAGCAGTGCAGCACCTCCTTCAAGTCCTATTTTGGCCCGGTCTTGCGGGTCGAGCGATCATCCACTTAATCAGCGCAGTCCTATGGAAGCAGCTCCCGCCTGATCTCCTTTCTGAGCCCAGCCATCTCCAGTTCTGTGCTTAGCTAACCTGTCGACTAGTGTGTTTCTGTGGTATATCGGTATAACTAATGAGTATTTAGAGTGACTTTCAGGAACTAATCCAACGTCTCATACAGCATGCATTGCCCCAAGCCTCATCTATTGGCCAATAACTTCGTATGGCATGATGCTCTAGTTTGCAGCACTAGAAACACTTGTGACTCTTTTCCTGCTTTTGATACGAAAATTGTCCAAATCTCACAGAAAATGATTCAGTTTTACCATCAACCTATAGTGGTCGATTTTTGTATCGCTAGCTGGATAATTGTTAAGATACTAGTCCCTCAGTGCCTTCCTCTTCAATCGGTGTAGTCGTGCACTACAAGCTCTGTTCTCTTATTTATTATTATTTGAAAGCCCAACACCGAACTAAATTCGCGTAATTACTAATTTTGAAGTAGCTCAATTAGCTTTTTTAGAACACGGAGGCTCCAGTGAGTGCGTTCGATTATGCACGCGAATCGATTCACGAATCGATTCATGAATCGATTCGCGCTATTCACATCATCCCATGTGAATAGAGTGAATGGTTCCGAATCGATTCCAGGGCTCATGACATGAAATCGAACGATTTGAATGCATGCGAATGGATTCATGAATCGATTCAAGTGTGTAATCGAACGCACTCACTGCATGCAGCCAATTCATATCACGCTTAGTCACCACCACCACCACACCAAGGTCGTTGACGCTGCAAATTCTTTTGAAAAGAAATGAAATCTCCAAATTTTCGCCCTTGGGGCATTAGCTACCAAAAAGAATGAAGTGAATAAAATTTGATCTAAAACTAATACGAGAAACATTAATATGCTAAAAGTAACAGCAGTGAAGGCGTGATTACAAGGCAAGAAGTGGTATGCGCAAGTGCGGAGTGAGGAGGGGCAAGTGAGAAAGCTGCATGTATGTGAAAAAGGAATGAAGTTCACAATAAGTGCGCAGCAATTCATCTCCTTCGACTATCATTGTAGAACAGTACTCAATGCTATTGAGGTACCGAAGTAAAATGTAATATCATATCTCTTACCATACCATACCAGTTCTCTGACCCATGCTTTCATGGGCCGATCTTGGAGAAGCACTTCGTTGAACTTGTGCAATGTTGTGTCATCATTTGGGAAATCCAACACAACTTTCGTGGGGTTCTCCGGCGTGCGATACCCCAGTAATACGTCCTCGTCAAAAAAGACGAAATACTCGAAGCGCTTGAGTCATGACCAGACCGGTAACACACCGACGGTGCAATTCTGGCGCCAGAATTAGAGAAATTCCGCCCTCTCTTCAGAATTGACGGTTTCGACGGAATTGGATAAAATCAATTCTGACGGAATTTGTCACTTTTTGTGTAATCAAACTGTGCATCAACAATAACTAATTCTAGAATTGACCTAAATGCGTGTAATCGAAAGCGCCCAATGAGAATAAAAACAAAGACGAAAAAAGAAGCAACCATGATTGGATTGTAAAACGTGGCCAGAGGCAGAAATGAAATATGTTTTACATGGGTTCCTCATAATCCATCCGTGGCTTAGAGATCGCACTACCCAGCCGGGTGCCTGCTGTCTCAGCTACTTCATAGGTTGGCTCAGCTGAAATCCTATTGGCTGGACGAAGACTTTGTTGTACCAAGGGTGCCGACTGGCTCTGCTGTGCAAAGCCATACGCACTGTTGTCGGTCAGCACAGGTGAAGTGGCTGGCGATACTTGCTGACTGGGTCTTGAGACGGTGTGTTCATCGTACGGGCTTGATTGTGACCGCATGGGAACCCACGCCGCTGATAATGAATGATTAGGCGTCGAGTCCTTTCCGTTGACCGGCAGATGTGCAGGACGGTGGATCATCGAACGTTTAGCCAGCACGATGCTGACAATCACTAGGATGATGGCGATCATGAACACGGCACCAGCTGCTGCCAGTGCGGCTGTTCCTGTAGTTCCAAGGGAACCTGCTGCTAATACAGCAGAAGAAAACACGACAATAAGGTTGTACGAGAGAGCTTGGAAGCTCAGAGCCCTATGCTATGGTTTTTTGCCTTGATGAATTAGACAAAAAAAGCATAGGGATGTTATAAATTTTCTTATAAATTTCTCCTATATTTTCAGGACATAACCTGGGATTCGAACCTGCACTATTGCCCTGCATGCATCCTCCAATACACTTTGCAAACAGACTAATTCTTCCAAGTTGCTTCACGTTGTGATCTTGCAGTTGAAAGCCCTATTATTATTATTATTATTATTATTATTATTATTATATTGTGGCCCGCCGTCTTTGATGGTACGGTACGGTACGGGACAGGTACGGTCGAGGGTAATATGACACCGTCTACCGCCTTGATGACCTAGGCAAAAAATAGCATAGGGATGGTATACCTTTTAATACTCCTATTTTTTTTTAAGGCATATCCTGGGATTTGAACCGGCACTATCGCCCTACATGCATTCCCCGATACACTTCGCATTCATACTCATTCTTCCAAGTTGCTTCACGTTATGATCTTCCGTTTGAAAGCCCTATTTGAATATTGTGGCCAGCTGTTTGCGGCCAGCTGTCTTTGATTGTACGGCAGGGTTCGGGACAGATACGGGATAGCGCCAGGCGTGACACAAACAAACAAACGAGAGAGCTTGGAAGCTCAGGGCCCTACGCTATGCTTTTTTGCCTTGATGACCTAGACAAAAAAAAGCATAGGGATGTTATAAATTCTTAAAAGTTTCTACTTTTTGTTTTCAGACATAACCTGGGATTCGAACCCGCACTATCGCCCTGCATGCATCCCCCGATACACTTCGTATACATACTAATTCTTCCAAGTTGCTTCACGTTATGATCTTGTATTTGAAAGCCCTATTTGAATATGCATTGTGGCCAGCCGTCTTTGATTGTACGGTACGGTACGGGATAGGTCCGGGACTGGTACGGGACAGGTACGGTCGAGGGTAATACGATACCGTCTACCGCATTGATGACGGGAAAAAAAGAAAAGGGATGTTAAATTATTTTAATTCTCCTATTTTTTCAGGCATTACCTGGGATTTGAACCGGCACTATCGCCCTACATGCATTCCCCCATACACTTCGCATTCATATTCATTCTTCCAAGTTGCTTCACGTTATGATCTTGCATTTGAAAGCCCTATTTGAATATTGCGGCCAGCTGTATGTGGCCAACTGTGTTTGATGGTACGGTACGATACGGGACAGATACGGGATAGCGCCAGGCGTGACACAAACACACAAACACCAAATTAAAGCTGTGTGAACCCTGGCTAGCGCCAGACGTTACTGAAGTAACGTCTTCTGCATAGCTACGGGAATAAACAGCAAATTAAAGCTGTGTGGAGTGGACTCTGGCTAGCGCCAGACGTTACTGAAGTAACGTCTTCTGCATAGCTACGGGAATAAAATGGAATAAGGTATCTTTCTGCTGTCATGACCACACAAGAATGAAGTCATGAAAGTTGTCTAAAATCGATTTTCATGTCACATTCATCAGTGGAATGTTAGGTGACTGAAGAATATCCGTGCTGAACACAGCGTTCTTGTGTGGCGATGACAGCATAATTTGTTCTCTTTATTGCTTTTTTAAAATTGATGTTTCCGCGTCGATTATTTTCAATGTGTCTTTCAGTGTCAGTTGCATCACCATGCAAGAAGCACATGAAATCAATCCACTTTTAGCATTACAACCGGGAGATACAGTGTGGCCAAAAGTTGTTCCATACTCGGTTAAGTTGGAAGTGTCATAATCATGGTAATTGTATAAGTTTTGGAAGCAGGCGTTTCCAGTACACCATTTGCCCATTGTGCCAAAGATGATTTCAGAACAAAACCTACTGGTACTATCCCTCAATTGTTTATTGTTTTTGATTTTCAGCAACTTCTTTTTTTCTTTGCTCATCGCTGCTCTACCTCACACACACACACACACACACACACACGCACACGCACACGCACACGCACACACACACACACACACACACACGCGCGCGTGCGCGCAATCATACGTGCACGCATGCACACACACACACACACAGATTACATGCAAACACGCCCATGCGCAAACACATACACACACGAGTGCACGCAAACACACACACACACACACACACACACACACACTACTACTACTACAACTACTTTAGCATGACTGCCCCATAGGGCCACGCCACTCCATGAGCCAGAGTCAGGATAAGAGAGTCAATGCCGGTGAACCCCATGCCGGTTGACATCTCGTGGAAGCCGAAAACGTTTGTTGCAGAGCTGGCACTCATATTCCAAGATTTCTCTGTTTACAAGTAGGGCGACTACCACGGCTGCATTTTTGCCGCTTGAACACACACACACACACACACACACACACACACACACACACACACACACACACACACACACACACACACACACACACACACACACACACACACACACACACACACACACACACACTGTACTGTACTGTATTGACAGCTGCCCTAACGGGTCACGCCGCCCTCCACCCAAGCATGGGTATGATGAGGGGCAGTGGCAACAAAAACACAAACAGCAAGCAGAGAGAGATAGCAGGAGAAAGACAGCGATAGTAGTACATCTGGTGTGCGACGTATAGAAAAGAGAGATGACAAGAGATACGCACAAAAAGGAAACAATAATTATTTGAACCTGTATTATTTCAGTTCCGAAACAATCAACCAGGTGATGGAGTGTGGGCACCCGAAGTCCCACCTGGACTCCACTGGAAGAAAATTCCACGCAGGGATATCAGCGATAGGCCAAGCGTTGAAAAACAGCCATGAGGACACATCGTCTAGAAGTCCACCGCGCTCGAACTGAAATTGCAGGATCAAACAATTTCCCATGCGTCGTCAGGCAGCGTAACTCTTCTCCCTTCATCACCATCCATCTCCAACAACCGTCTCCACTCACAGCTCATGCCTCTGTCACCACTGTACTCCGAGCTTCGCAGTTTGAAACCATTCGGGGGTCAGCTACACCACCGCGAATGGAGAGACGAGGACGACACCGGTCGTGACAGAAAAGACACTGCCCTGGCGACCGCGTCGCGGAACCCTTGCCCCAGCAAATTCAGAAACACGCCAGGGGCGACTCTGGTGGACCCAGAGCCACCCCGTGGCCTAAGACTAGTAAGAGGAAAGACTGAAAACTCAGATAAAACGGAGCTACAAAAAGTGCAACCGTCCCCTTTAAGCACAGTTACACACACACACACACACACACACACACGCGCACACACACACCATTGGACCATTGGACGCCCATCGCCAGAGGCGATGATAGCGATGCTACAGCAGAAGCCATAGCAACTTGTGCTGGGATTGCACCATTCAACAGCTTGCAAGGCTGAATAATTGACCACCACTATTCAGCCTGGTCTACACCACACAGCTATGAAGTGGCTTTTTTCTGGCCAGTGAATCCCTACTTTTTGGTCTTTTTATTTATTTTTCCCGCACACACATCACACCACATACTCCGGCATGCACACACACACACACACACACACATACATACACACACGTGCATACACACACAGATAGACCATAATGTCCCCCAAGGAGCAACCGGCCCTGAGAACCGTTTGGCAGTATGCTAGGGAGGACTCGGGGCAGATGCGCACACATCTTAGCCGCACTGACTGGCCAACCAATTGATCAAATGACCCTGACGCTGCGTGTGAAGCCCTGACAGGAATTGTGCGTGATGCAATGTCACAGTTCATTCCTTGCAAGGCATTTGTTGGACACCTGCCTGCCAACAAGCTGTGCACCTAAAGCAACAAGCCTGGACAGTTTGGCGACAAGACCCTGATAGCTTTCAAGACAAAGAAACTTTCCTGGCATCTGTCACACATTGTGTGCATGTTCTGTAACATGCCCTATATCAATGCAAGGAGCGAGCTTCTAGAAACCTTGAGTTGCTGGTGTTACCCGCCAAATGATTTTCCTGCTCTGGTCGACAGATCTGGAAACGAGCACACCACTGCGAGAGAGAAAGCCGAGTGCTTTGCCCAGTACTTTGCCACAAAGTGCAGCCTCGGCTTCAACGGTTTCTCTGCCTCTGATCAGCTCCCTTCTATGCAGCTTGATGCCTCGACACATCAGATCACAGCCATCTACTTTCGCCCAGCCAATGTCCATCATCAACTAGCTGGGCGGAATCCGCACAAGGCCACTGGCCCCTATGATGTATCGTCTAGAGTCCTGAAGGAATGCCACAGGGAGCTGACAGAGCCTGCTTGTCCCTTGTTCTCTTGATGCTTCAGAGCAGGGGTCCAGACTGCTTCTGGAAACTAGCCCATGTGTCCTCCATAAACAAGAAGTCCTCCAAGTGAATTGTTTCGAAGTATCGACCTGTGTCTCGTCTCAGCATCCTGTCGAAAGTAATGGAGAGTATAGTCAACTCCCAACTTGTCAACTTCTTAGAACGCCACCGTCTGCCGAATACTGATCAGTACAGTTTTCGTCGTGGCACCGGAGCCGCCAGACCTCCTTACTGTCCTACAGTATGAGTGGGCCAATGCCATGGCGCAAGGTGGAGTTATGCAAGCAGTGGCTGTGGACATGGCGGGGGACTTTTGACAGAGTATCTCATACTGGCATACTTTACAAGTCCCACCAGCTGGGAATAGGGGGTTCTCTGCTCAAATGGCTTACGCGCTACCTGATATGTTGTTCCATTAAAGGGGCGTCGGAAGGTATTTTAGTGTGGTACGGTCAGCCATCTGAAGTACTTCGAAGTACAATTTACTCGTAGGGGAGGGATGGCTGAGCCGAAAATTTTGGGAAAATAGAGCCCAAAATCAGTGCATTTTATTGATTAACAGGGTACTTGGGGCAAATAGTGGTACGGTCAATACCGTAGTGACCGTACCGTGTCCGACACCCCTGCATTAAAGCTGTTGTTCATGGCCAGAGGTCATCGGTGCACCCT